CACAAAAGTGACACTTGTGACACTTTCCTGATTACAAAATTAATTGATATGTTTTACGAATACTTCACGGTACTTTTCACTCCCCTAAGTAAAATTCGATTGATATAATGAAAGAATATTATTGATTCACATCTATCGGTGATGTTTCTCTCGAAAATAGAAATATCCGAACTCCAACTATCGCAACGTCCCTACAATGAACACACACGCAAAAAAGTTTTACTTAACATGCCCGAAAGGTTTTTGGATCAGTGGAATCAAAAGTGTCTACCTTCTAGAGATTAATACAGTGATGTCATACATAATCTACAAATAACAAAAACTACATTTTTAATGTTACGAAAGTTGTGAAATCTAAATTTGAAGATTGCAAAAAGTGAGAACTGTTATAATTTCATTAAATTATCCACTTATTAAAGAAATATGTTTGTTTCTACAATAAAGAATCATTGAAACTTATTATCTCTGGTCTCAGCCTTTCTTCCACAATTCAAAATCAGGACCGAATTTTAACGCTTGAAACTTGCTTGTCATCTGAGTACAATGTACAACTTTTTTCTTTTATCAGAATTCCTCCCCTCATTCAAAAGTTTCAAACTTTGGTACCCGCGTATTCCCGTGGGTGGCGCCGTATCAGAGCGTGTGTGTCCCGAGGGAGACCGCGATACCACACGTAGCGTGACTCGTCCCCGAAGCGCCCGCCCGCCAGCTCGCGCCCTCTGGAATCCGCCGGGGACTCTTTATAGACCTTTCCGGCGGCTGCCAGAGGCGATCGATAATGTGGACCTGGGATCGCTTCACTCATCCGTGCAGCCGGTGCCTCTCCAACAGCGGGGATCGCCTTGAGAATCGTGTCCAGAAACTTGGCCGGTAAATTGCGGAATACGTGGGAAAGGACAGGCTGAAATGCGCAGAAAACAGCGGGCTTTCTTGATTTACAAGAAAGCCAACAAAACTTTTAATTTCTTTTCAAGTTTTCAAATTATAAATTAGACGTTTTATTAATTTTAAGTTTCTCGTTTGACTTACAATTTTGTAAAGAAGTTTAAATTACAAAATTAACTTACATTTTTTATCTTAAAAAAAGCATGACACTGAACAATTCATGAAAAGGTTAGGCTCTCCTTATCAACTGAAATCAACTGAGGAGACTGAAAATAGCTCATTATAATACTGATGTTATTATAAGATGTTTATATAGGAGTAAATGAAAGTAATTCATTTCTAGATGCCGCCGAATCTGATAATGAATGGGAAAAAAAGACGAGAGTTACGGGGTTCGAGAGACTTTTCTTTTACGTTTTGCTGAAAACTATTCCTTTAAATACTTTCAGGAGTTTCAAACTACTTTTGATTTGTTTAGAACTGGGAAGAGATTAAAAGGGGGATTCAATACGTGTATAATTTCAAAGAAAACAGATGCAAAAGCTCGTCTTAGCCTAAATTAAGAACGATAAATTATTTCAAGTTAAAATATAAGAATTTTCTTCGAACTCGAAGGGTATTTGATTTCCTCTTGGAATGAGTCTTATTAGGTTTTAGATGCCACTAGTATTAATTTCATTTGGTTATCGACAGATCGATTTACCTCGTCTATATTCTATTTCAAAGAACATGCTTCAAAATAAAATGATTAGTTCAAGATCGTGCTTAATCGTACAGTAGAAGCATGAATGCATTCTCGTTACTCCGTAGGCGTTCCGCAGGAATTACAAATGCTCCGCGCTACCCGGATGGTGGGCGTGAGTCACGAGCGTGGGATTCCTCGTCGGTCACAGAACTCCCCGGGCGAAAAACACCTTCACTCCCCAAACGCCGTTGCGTTAACGCATTTATATAAACGTCTGAACGAGATTTTGCGGAACGTTATTCACTTATTCTCGAAAAATATGCAAACAAAAATAATTTCGTAATTGTCTTTGAATTCTTCTATACTTAAAAAATGGAGGGTAAAATAAGCTGAGTTGTGAAGAATGAGGTTCGAGGCGGAGACAGATTACGTGACCTGCCGCAATTACCAATTTCAGGCCTGAGGTTCGAATGAGTGGGATAGTGGGCGGTATATAATTTCAATCGATGTCGCCGAGTGGTTATGTATAAAGGCAACTAACAGTAGTTTATTAATGTGTTTATTTCGATGTATCACGGTAAATTACGGTTCCTATTACGATAGAGTGGCGATTAAAAAGGCAATTATGAAGCGATTTAGAAATTGAATAGTAACAATAGTTTGAGTAGCTGCTTAAAAAATAGCAAATGGTAAAACTAATGCAGAGTTAATCTCGATTAAATGTCGCTGAATCTTAAATAAAATGTGATTATTTATAAATCTTTGTGTAAAAGATATTTTATAAAAATATGTTGCAGAGAGTTTGGAAACTGCTATTAAAACTTAAGTAAAGATTCTCAAAGACAGTGAGACTTTTTTTTCTGAGTGTACAGAACTTTCGAACGAATGAAGTCCGAAAACGTCCCTTATTCTGTTAAAGATCTAGCGACTATTGAAGGCGGAAAAGATATTTCCGAAGGTGATTTTTAAATAGTGAGCCGGACACGATAGAAAGTTGGATGATCCTGAAGTTAAAGGAGTAGAAACTCAAAATGGCCTGATTGAATGCGGATCAGAGTCGGGCAGAGAACTCATGCCCTTCTGTATTATTTAGTATATTCAATTACTCTCTTTAAAAATTCTCCTATCTCCCAAAAATGTAAATTTATGATATTAAATGTATAATTTTTCTATTTACAATGTACTATGAGATACAGAAATCGTCAATAAATACCTTCTTTGTTATCATATTCAATTATTTGTTTTATATTGTAAATATAATTTGGCATAATGAGGGCCATCTTTGGAATTTTAGTACATGTTCGTTGCACCAAGCTATGCGTTCAAAATCCGAACAGTAAATAAAATGTATTTTTACTGATAAATATAGGCCACTTTTATATTGTGAAATGCTGTCAAAAATGTTTGTTTGTTAGATTTATTTTTTTGTCTAGTATTCATGAGAGATCTATGCACGTTAGACAAAACCCATGCTTCTTTTGCTTTTTCCTTACTCCACGGTTGCTTCGCGTGATGATCTAATCACGGCAATTATGTAAATGTGAGGTGGGGTTTGAGAAAACGCTGCAGAATTTACTCGGTGAAAATAGGGGATGATGAAATCCTTGTTTGTTCTCACAACCTTACTAGTCTCAATATTTAGTTTTGACAGAAAATCAAAAGGTAGTTTTGCCCACTTCCAACGAGAGTAGAAGTAGTTCAAAATGAAATTAAGTAAAAGGTGTGCCTTTTTTAGATAAATGTAAATGTGTTACTTGTATTCGAAGTGGTGGAAATGAATGATCATAATCACACTTATTGGTTTTTTCTACATTTTACATCATAATTAGTTGTTTTCGGGTTTGTAGGCCGTGGTCCAACGGAGACCGGTCCAAACGTTTTCTACATTTGTTCAGTAGAATGCACATTTGCAAATACTCCTATTTACTCGGTTGCTACATGTTAAATACTCTTTAAGAGTTTGGCGAACGAAATAAAATGTCGGTAGAATTGGCATGAAGGGGGAAGATGGTGGAGGTAATTGTTTAATTGTCACGAATGCAATGGTTGATTCCTTAGTTCAGTCGGTAGAGCATCATCAGGTTCTGGGCTCGGATCCCTGTGGGATTTAATATTTGCAGTTCGTGGCAATTCATTTTCATAAACAATGTCATTCTGCTGAGGCGTGTGTAACTTGTTTTATTATCTGATTGTTTGCTTTTCAGTTTTTCGAACTTGCGACTTTCTTTCGTTTTATTTCGTATTTTCGTTAGTAAAATTCCATGAGTGCTTTAGAAATTCTCGAGATAAATTCGGCTCACGAAGCGAGTGAATTTGAGAGTTTCTAAAGCACAGATGGGGATAACAAAGATATTTCAATAAAAATTCCATAATATAAAATGTCAATAAAAAATATAACATTTCAATAAATGTTGCATACAGTGCTGTAATGCTGAGATCGGGCAAGTGGCTTTGGAATGACAAAATGCCATAATAAACGTACCAAACTAGTTTTATTATTTTAATTCTACTTAAACACACAATTATAATTAAATTATATTTATTAAACACAGAAGTCTGAAAACTGGATCCTGTCATAATTTCATTACCAATAGAATTTGTTGTTGTTATCGATGTTGGGCAATGCCGAAGTTGATTTAATAATTCCGAATGATATTCCTTCTTGGTTTGAATATATCGCTTCGCAGAAAAAACATTAGCCTGGTCAGAAATGTTTAATATTTCTTGCTCTAGTAATTCTTCTTAAATCATTCGGGTTACACCGGCAGTGCTCGCTCAGGGCATCAACTGCAGGACCTTTGACCGGGAGGTCCCAGGGTTTGAGTCCCAACGGTGGCAGGATTTTCGACCCCAGCTAGGTCGAAAGCAGCCTCTGTCTGGAGGAGCATCCTAGCGGCTGTGATCGGTAATGTTCCAAGGTTTCTCCGATCAACAACGGTCGAATGCCGAAACAGTACTCCAACAAACGCGCTATGGACTGCGCGCGATATTTCCTTCCCCTTCTTTGTTCTATCCCCACCCATTACTTACGCACACGTATGCCCTACACTATGATATATTGGGAGCAAGATCTTACCGTCCAACGAGGAAAGATCACCGCCGTGATCAAAACATGCTCTACATTTATAGACTAATGACCAAAGCAGTTGACGCGCTCGGTAACACGAAATAATCAATCAATTGCGTTACAGCCAATTGGTTCGCGAAGATTTTTTTTCCATTTTGCCTGTACAAACAAACTTCAAACACAGCATATAAAACAATAAAGCATGCAACAAAACAACTGCAACTAGATTTCCATAACTAAGGCGTAAGAAGGCGCATGACAGAAGAAAGAATCTCGTCTTCGTGATGTCTGACAGATATTAAAGAGCTATTAGTTATAGTCGTGTGCGGTCCTCGTGAGTGGCGGTGTGTGTGCGTTGCGCAGGAGCGAGCAGTCGTTCGCGCAGTACGCGCGCGCCATGCCGTGGCTGGCGGTGCCGTGGGCCGAGGGCGAGCGGCGCGCGGAGCTGGCCGCGCTCTTCTCGGTGCCCGGCATCCCGGCGCTGGTGCTGCTCGACGCCGCCTCGGGCCGCCTCATCACCCCCGACGGCCGCGCGCTCGCCAACGAGGACCCGCTCGGACATGTCAGTCGCTCGGCGCCAGCGCGCGGGGGTGCATCGCAGAGGAATGCATGTGCGCGTGAAGGCGAGTGACGAATTCAGAGTGTGGGCCGTTGAGGGTTGAATAGGTGAGCTGTTGCAGGGCTTGAATGTGTGGCCGTTGAGGGTTGAATGTGTGGGCCATAGGGTTGAATTGGTGGGCCGTTTGAGGTGAATGTGTAGGCCGTTGAGGGTTGAATGTGTGGGCCGTTGAGGGTTTGAATGTGTGGGCCGTTGCAGGTTGAATTTGGGCCGTGAGGTTGAATGTGTGGGCGTTGAGGGTTGAATGTGTGGCCGTTGAGGATTGAATGTGTGGGTCGTTTGAGGTGTGAATGTGTGGGTCTGAGGGTAATGTGGCCGTTGCAGGTTGAATATGGGGGTACGTTGAGGTTGATGTGTGCGGCCGTGAGGATGGATGAGTGGGCCATTGAAGGTTGAGTGTGTGGGCCGTTGAAGATTGAATGTGAGAATTTATTAATCAAGTGCGAATTAGCGAATCCCACTAATTTAATCGCATGGCGAAATTTTCTAATGAAAACCATTAGCATGATAATTTATTAACGAATTATTGGTTTTGCTATTCTGAATTGATGAACTTGATGGTAGTAAAAAGATAAGCCACAGTAAGTCTCCTCCTATTCGTAAATTTTTAATGTCTTGATTTTGGCGAAAGCGTGGCTTATCTTCTTTCTATATACGGCTTGTTCCTATTTATTAAGGTTTTGATGAAGTTACATGATACTGGACCAAAATAGTTTAGAAATATTTACATTTACGAATACGGGGGACAATTGCTGGGGCCGGTTGGGCTTATTTTATTACTGTCCCAAGCCCTGCATTTGACAGAAAAACTTGCACAGTGTTTTTCAGAAAAAAGTGCACAAACGCAAGGATAATATGGGGGCAAGGAAAGTACTTTTTGCCAATAAACCCTGGTCTAAGAAGCTGGGACTGAAGGCTAGGGTGTGTCAAAAAAGCGTCTGTTCCTGCACACAAATACTCGCTCGAGTCGCATGGATAGCCACTACAACAGACTTCTATTTATCTCATCAATTGTCTTAATTCCATCCTGATAACAGATTTCATTATAATTTTTGCTTTGGAGGGAATGGATTCTTCAAGATGGTCGTGAATAACTCAACACATTTCACATCTTATCTTTAAACATATATAGTTTTATGAGAGGTATAGAAGAAAGAAATCAAATGTTAGCCTTGGGTACTTTAAGGCTCAGTTTCCTAGGCCTTGAAAGAATGATTCTTCCCTGTTAGTAACAAATGGCACAATCATTTCAACTTTAGCTTCTTAGTTCTGTGATGTTCTTTAGTTCTCGTGTGTTGTGTACCATCACTTACGGAAATATCTTGTCATAATTTGGCTTTTTCATACCTCGGTGCTATTTATAATATTTTGTTGATGCCATCCCCTCAATTGGTATTCCTGAATTTGAATACGTTCCCACAATCTCAACTCATTTGATGATTTTTTTTTTTCAATCGCAGATTTCAATCTTTTAAATAGTTTAGTCTTTGAAAGTGATGATGACTGCTTCTGATTATGTTTCTAGTAAGATACGGTTATTATGTCTCTCTTACTGCTTCACCAATATGAATCATATTACTGCCAAAATCTTGAGAGCTAAGCTTAAAGCATGGAAGCATGGATTGGTCACTCTATTGATCCTAAGATGCATAACCTTTTCTTATCTTTTTCTTTTATCTTTGATCTATTACTCAAAGTCCTTTCATATCTTAGATCTCTAAAAAAGCTGCTGAACAACCAAGTCAGAACTTGGTTGGATGAAGAACTTGGAAGAATTTAATACTTTCGATTCTTCAACCTGGCTTTTGTGATGGTCACAGACCTTCACTTTCCTTCAGTTAAAATCAGGTCTTGACAGCTTGGTCTCAGCTTCCAAATCTTTGATACTCACTACTGAATAACTGCACAACTTGCATACAATGAACTTTTCATACTTTATTATGACAATTACAGAGCTGGGCCAGATTTACCTACAAGCAAAATAAATTGTAGCTTAGGGCCATCCATAGAGGCCCTGAGCCTCAGTAAAAATTCATAAAATATTTGAAAGAAGTCATAAAGCATGTTTGTATTTAAAACTATTTTTACAAATATTTTATAAATATAAATCTGTTGTCTTTTTTAGATGGGGACCCAAAACAATTTTGTGTTTGGAGGTCCTACAATACCTAAATCCAACCATATCAGAAAGAACCTCAGAATTGTGATCTCAGGGTTGAACGATGCACTTCCATCCATGGTCTTTATGCTCCCTTATCCCACAAGGTTAGGGGAGATACCTGGTTAGGGAAAACCCCAGTAGCTGATGGTAAGTTGGTGGCAGATCTCACCATCCAGTGGGGGAAGACCACTCTCACCCCGAGCCCAAAACATGCACTACACTTACGGGAATGATGACCGTAGTACTTGATGTGCTTGGAATCACTAAAAAGCAATCAATTGAACTGTTATTAAGTAATGAAATTATTTTATGTTTTTATTTGTTGTCAACTCTGCTGTTTAGCACTCTAAATAACCCCCTCGTTTAAAAAAATTAAAAAAATGTTTTCACTTTCAGGAGTTCCCCTGGCATCCAAAGAATGTCAACATTCTTTCCGAAAGATATGCAACTAAACTTCAAGATCATCCTGCCTTTATATTATTTGTTGGTAAGAATTTTCTTTGCTTGACATGAATGAGTTATGGTGTAATAGTGAATTGATCTGAGTAAGATTCAAAGTTTAAAAAACAATGGTCTACTTTTTTAATTTATGATTCCATTTTTCCTTCTGTTTTATTGGGCAACAAAATTGCTTTTAGTTTAGATTTAATGTAACACATAGATTAGATTAATACAAAAAAAATTATTTTAATACTGTTAGTGTAGTTTACCGCTACTTTTACAGCATTAAAATGACTTTTTAACACCAGAAGCTTTGAAAATAACCTTAAATCTGAGGGAGTTAATATTACTAAGTTGGAATTAAGTTTCAAAATTAAATAAAAACTTGACCTTATAATAAACTGTATATTTGTCATGCCTTGAGTTTTAAACATCAGTGTTGAATGTTCTGTAAATGGACTTCGAAATAAAAAAGTCACCGTACGAATCTCATAGTGCGATACATACCAATCAGTCACAAACTCGTATTGCTGGCCATTGAAATAGTGTCTTTCGTACTCTACTATTCTTACTCTACTATTACAAAAAATTCAAAATAAGTGAAAAACAAAATATTGTATACAATGTGAGATTAAACAGTTTTATGATTCTAAAAACTAACAATTATATTTGTATCGAACATTCATTTTTTGTTAATTAAGTCAATGCCACGGTATAATGTAAAGATATCCATTAGCTTCTCCCCTATACCTCACACACAATATTTACTCTTCTTGGATGAAATAAATTGAATCAAGATAAATATCAGAGTTCAGAGCAACTGTTGGGAAATATCTTCATAAACTGTTATTTGAGCTTGTATTGTGAACATAAAAATTATCATTTATTATTAAATTATCCCTTTAAATTTAAAGACAATTAAATAATAACTTTCTTTTATATTTTTTCAATTACTTCATTTATACAATGTTTCAACGAACATTTCAATCAGTCACAATGTTCATTGAAACATACAAATGAAGTAATTGAAAAAATATATAAAATTAATTTATTATTTCACTGTCTTTAAATTTAAAGGAATAATTTTGTAATAAAAAAAAATTGATTAGAGAGTCACAACTAACAATCAATAAAACTGATCACTCTAAATACACAAATTCATCCAACTACCAAGATGACTTTCTCAGTACTTTACTTGTTTTATTGTGTACAGAGAAAGTGAATCATCATTTAGTTCCTGTTTTACACTATTGAATTTTTTCCTAATTTAAAATTTTGCATTACATTTGCCACTGTTGTATGTAAATTTTTAACTTTTTAGAAGGTGACCAAAGAGAGATTGAGTTTGCAGAATCTGTACTTCGTCCAGCAGCCGACAACTACCAATTACATTATCAACCTAATGCAGATGAAGATTACTTCCTTTTCCTCATCGGATGTGATGTGAGTTGTTTTTTGCAAATATTTGTATTATACAGCATTACTTTTGAAAATAAATAATTTCTACTTTTCTTATTACTTCCAGAATGACACGTGTGATTTATTACGAGACTTTATTGGAATCGATGATGTTGTGCCCCTTTTGACAGCTATTGATATTCCCAGTGGGCATGTCAGTATTATGGAAGATGGAGAAGAAATCACTGAAGAGTCTGTTAAAAATTTCGTGACAAAATTTCTGGAAGGAACTCTTCCTACAACTGATATAATAATGTCAGATATACAACTTAATGATAGTTCAGTGAATGTAGTGTGATCTTAAATTTATTAATTCACAATAACATTCATTTATCACTAGTAGGAACAGAAAAGTGAGTGGTACAGATAATGATTAAGTATTGTGACAAATCAACTACCGTACTGTTGATTGAAAATTCTAAAACAAAAATTTAACATGAGTTTCCATGAGTAATTTATTATTCTGTCAAAGAATTACCATTTGAATTTGTAAGTTATGTTAAGTATTTTTAGTATTGAAGAAGATATGTATATATTATAGGTAATTATTTAAATTTGAAGTTTGACAAAGACTTTCTTTTTGTTATGCCAAAGACAGAAAAAAAACAATCTCCAATTACCTTTCTTATGAGTTACTTATGAAATGAGTAGAGAACAACACCTGTGTGATTCTATTATTCTATGCATGTACCAAATATTAAATGAAACTAGTCCTGAAGAGGGAAAGTGTTTGTCACTTTTGCAACACAACCTTCCTTTTTATAAGATAGTGAAGTATTGAAGCACTTTAAAAGACATGTGTTTGTCCTCATATTTTGTATGTTCAATAAAAGAATTAAACATTTCTAGAAATCTTGTTGTAGAAATGTGCATGTGGTGGTTATCTATTTTGATGTACTGCAGCAATAAAGATTATTTTCAACACTAATTAGAGTGCACTACTTTCAGTCATAAAAAATGCCTTTTATTTTCTGGAATATTTAAAAAATGTAACTTGACCCTTTTTTGTTGTAAGATACCTATTTTCATTTGTCACTTGACACGTGTTTGCCAATGGGAAGTAAGAAATGTATATCTTTCGTGAAATTATAAAAGAAGAAATTCTTGAGCATGAGCAATAGGACCCCTCATTTCTGTGTGTGTATTAGTAAACACATTTGTTTACCAATTTGTAAACAAAATTCATTTTTCCATGAAACAGAAATAATTTTGGTGGTTAATTTGAATGAGAAGTCAATATATTTTCCATTTGTTTCCAGTGGGGAAAACAAATTAGAACCTGAGGTAAGTTGCGCCATCTACCTCCTCTTCCGGGTTCCTCTGCTTGTAACAAATATGTGCAGCCTGGATACCTTTCATGTGCATCTTTGGAGGAAATAGTGTGACCCTTTTTTTAACATTTATTTAAGAACAATAACTTGATGGCAAAAATATTTATGTAGGTTCAAGGAGAGAATACAAAATTGAAATTTGTTTATGAACTTCATGCATTTTATTGTGCAGAAATAATGATACATCTCCTATTACTATTGCTGATAAATAATAATAATAAAAATTATAAAATTCAAAACACTAATAGGCTAAAATAATAATGACATGATAACAGTAGCTGTGATGGTGATAATTTATTATCACTATCGTCATTTACTTTACAATTATCAAGGTTCTCGTTACAGAAACTTTGTTTAACAGTCTTGAGACCTATACTCACACTGATGTGCTTGCCCTTTACTTGGGGGTTGGGGAAAAACAAATCAAGCAGTAGAAATATTGCTATCTATATTCACAATCAATCTAAATTGGTAACCACAGATACCAAATATATTTGTGGTTGATTTGATAATGTAACTGAACCAATTACAGTTGGCCAAGTGATATTAAAAAGTTCTCATCTACAGACCCACAGTTTTTATAAGCTACTATTGACTTACAATATCGACAATTTTTATACAAAATGCTATCTAATAGTTTTGAATTTTAACAGTATTTTTTACAAACCTTGGCTCAAAATAGTTTTTGAAAAAGACGAATACTTACTCTTTGCCAATAGTTAGTATTTCAATAGTTAGTATTTCAATAGTTATATTCTTTACACCCAATTGTTTTTTTAAATGAAAAACAAAACGTTAAAATAAAGTAATTTATTTGTAAAAAAATAATATCATAGGGTCCATTTCTCAATGAAAAATCAGAATGCTTTAACTGTAACTAGATAACAGCTGTCAACATATTATTGTAATACTTAGAGTAAAATTACAAAAAAAAAATTTTTTTTGGGGGGGGGGCAACAGCAACATGGCTCTCAACCGCCCCTCCCCCACCCCCCACCAGACTCGCCATTGCCTATAGTCCTCGTCAATTATTACCTATGTTTGCTATTCGTTCCAGAGAGATGCAATTTAGTGCTGTAATAATTTCATATATTGCTCACTTTTAAACCACCATTGGTTTCCTGTCTGGTGCTTGGCTGATAAAAAATGACCAGGTCATGAGCGGGCAAGAGCGCTTTAATTTTTGGAGTCCTAGAACTCAAATAGCAACCAACTGACTGAGAGGACTGGAAGTTGTAAATTGGTAGATGGTTGATGGAGTTTTGGGGCATAAATGCTCAACTTGAGAGTAGTATTTCCACGATGTGAACCTAATGGAGTACGCTGGAATGTTCAAGACAATCGCTAGCAGTAAAGGCGCTAAAATTGTTTGTAATTATGTTCCGAGGACATAAGTGACGGAATCGTCTTTCCTTGAGGCTATTCGACTACAAAATAAATTTAACTGTAAAGATTTTTTGAAAATTACCATTATTAACGGTTTATTACTTTTAGACACTAAAATTGGCTGTATTGTCTTAGTCGTGTTTAAAATTAATTTCGAGGGTTCAAGCGAAAAATGTGACGTGAAATTCTCATTAACTCATTGGATAATAAAGTATCACGCAGGTCATGTCAACAAGTACTCCAGGCATACACAATTTTTAAAACGGAATAAGACTAAAAATGTGAATGCAATTCATAAGTTTGCTAGCGCGTTTGCTTAGTGAATTGCTTGTAGTAAGGCTAAATGCAACTCCATTTAGCTTCGGCTGATCGTAATGTATAGGAACAATATTGGATTCGGTCCGTTTTCAGTGGCAAAATCTGTTTTGAGGTTTCTGAGAAGAAATAGGTCTGAATGTGTGAATATTTGAGTTTGTCACGCGTAACTTGGGAAAATGTGAAGATTTTAAGCTCTAACATGGTAATATACTTCCAGGACTAAGATCTAATCGTGTTTAAGACTAGTATGTACTGATTGTGGTAAGATACATGGGTTTTTGTACTTCAGAAGTGCATAACAGCGAAAATTGACACTTTACCCCCTAAGAACGGAAGCTGGGGAAATGGGATAAGACGTTTTACCGGTATCTCTGTCGCCAGACCTCAGCACACACACATTCCCTGGTCCATAGGGAAGGAGACAATTGGTGAGTAAATAAATACCGATTCAAGTATACAAGACCCAAAAAAATCTTCAGTTTCATGAAATATGACAGTTGGGGACAATGGGGTTGGTCGTATTATTTTTGAAATCTTTGAAAAAAATTGGAACCCAAATTGTTACTGTTGAATGATCTGAAATTGTTTGTAACTTCCTTAACTGAATTCGGATGAATGCTGACATGTTCCTGAGAAAATATGTTGCAAATGCTACGAGAGTAGTAGAGAGAATTGGTACGTTAAGTCAAGAATTATTTCTGATTCGCACTTTTCTTTATCTCCCATGAAGGCAGGACGCAATTCTTATGACTTTAAAGCTGTTTTGAAAAAATGCTGTGAACTTAGCCATCAAACTATAATGACAAAAAAGTAATTAAAAGAAAATGACAATTCTTAAGTGCTCGAAATCTGGAACGTTTTTGGAAAAGATGCAGCGCAAAACATTCATAATTCCGCCGGCATTTCAAGGGATATAACTTTTTTATACTTCTTGCGTGATACATCCTGTGACAATTCAGGCAACTGAAAATTAAAAAATTTCTACTGAGACCATTTTTCCCACTTTTATTCTGCATGTTAAAATATTCTATCCAGAAAGATTATTTGAATAAAAATGCGAGTATATTAAAGGATAAAACTTGTTGGGCTCAAAAGACTAGGTAAAAATGCGTTCAGTTTTTAAAATACGAGTACATTTTTATAGTATAATAATATAATTGTTTTCGATAAATTAAAAAATATACATTGTATTAATACATAACAGTGATGTTATCCATGCATTACAACTATACCAATTTAATGTATATCGCAGCCAAAAAAAGGTTTTCTTTGATACAAAATATTTTTTGATGCTTTGTATTTTGAATACTAGATTAGACTTCCTAATGAGATCACATTTATTTTCACAATCACACCAAGTTTCAGAACAATGTTTTGTAAGCAATTTTCGGAATGTATCGTTAGCCAATTACATATATCAATAATTTACTGATGAATGAAATTTGGGTAATTGTTTCTAACAAGTATTGATTAAAGCTGCTGAAAAATGTATCATAGAATTGCAGGAGCGTCGAAAATAGATAAACATATTGTATATGAAAATAATTAAGTTATTTTATACAAATTAGAATCTTATGCGTACGTTTAATGGGCAATTACTTATTCAAATCAACAGTAACACAAACAAATTCAGAATGTCAACACACGAGTAAAGCAATTGTGGAATACATGGGAGAGGGCGAAGGGAAGAAGGCGAGGTCCGGCAGCGGCGCGGCTAATGGCTGGGGTTGATGCCTTGCACCGAGATGAAGGGGCCGCCCCCCAGCCCCTCTGCATCCGACCACACGCGAATCATGCCCACGCCGCACTGGCACTCCTGCAGAACATGGCGCACACACTCAATATTCGCTCTTCGACGACTAATTAGTTATATTTTTGTTAATCGACAACCTCCATTTTCATAATCGGGTTATCAAGATATAGAACAATTACTCTAAGAAGGGAACACAGACAGATTGGAAAACAAATGAACATCACGCACTGCAACGATATTGCAAGACACAGTGATGGATCCATTTACAAATGAGCTAACTGTAAACAAACTTACTGACAAAATGAGTGCATGGATATAACTTGTAATTATGTTCACAGCAATAGCCCAGCAGTAGCTGTCAAAGCGGACCCTTCTTATAGTAATCTCTATATACAATAATTCTGAAGTGACAAGTGCTTTGGTGAGGCGTTTGGTCATCATCGATAGATGCGCCAAACGAAACTATAAAAGTAATGCATTTTCGATATTTTAGAGAATAATTAAATATTAGAAAAAACACAAATATTTTAATTGTGATAGTAAAAAACAGCTGAAAAATAGCAATGAAACAATGAGAAGCGCGTAAAGTATTTGCCAATATTAGCGCATCGAACGCCATCGTTGACTCAACCGGCTGCTTCATGATGTATTTCTTGGCACAGCGATAAGCACTCGTCATTAGTGACGCGACATCGATAAAAACATTGATGTTAACAAATATCGATGTTTAAAATTAAAACATTTTTTACCCACGAACAAACAGAAAGCGTAAAAATCTCGAGCACAAAACATCAATGTTAAAAAAACATCGGCTGCAATACATCGATGTTTTGAAAACAGCAACATCGATGTCGCGTACCTACTCGTCATTGCAGTTTTCGTAGAATCTCGGCTGTTCCCGGCTACGCATGGTGAAACGCCTCATTTCGGCGTAGTATGAACTTGTGAGGAAACGGCATATTGTATTCGTGTGTGTCCTGAGTGAGTGCTTTCACTGGGCTTGTTAGTGTTTTCCGGTTTTTTGTTGTCATGTACAGTGAAAGAGGTTAAAGATATCGTAGTTAAGGTGAAACGAAAACTATTTGTTTCACTTACATTTGAAGAGAAGCTTGTGATATATTGAAAATGTTTGCTTCTGATCCTAAAACGATTTCTCTTTCTGAGAATTTGAATGCTAACTTGGATACAAATATATTTGAAAACAGATTTTAAAAAATGAGTTTATTGTTTTAAATATAATTGCAATATTTTCAAACTAATTTTCATGAAAATTAGTAAACTTTTTGATAGAAGAACATTTTGATTGCATTTTTAAAGAAATAATCAAAAGCATCCATAGAAACAAGTTTTTCTGCTTTAAAAATAATTCTTAATTTTAAAAGATAAAAACAAGGAGAAAAGTGGATGTGCGGCTTGTATTAACTGAGAAAGAATTCATAGAATCCATAGAGAATTTCTACAAGTCATTTGCCATTACAAATGAATGGCTTGACTATGTATACTTAAGAGTATACTTACTGTTTCCCAGTAATGTAGAATGTTTAGGAGTATTTACACATATTTATCTTATAAATTCATGAATGTCAGTACAACAAATTTTTAATCATGTTGTCAGCATCCAAACGTTACGCATTGTTTTAGAAGATATATTGAAGACATTTTTATGAATTTAAATAGTTTAGAGTATCAATTTATGGGAATATACGAATGAGTATCATTGTCTAGCCTTCCTTCATTCTTTTTTGTTTCGTGTATATTTGAAAGTTCAACAATAGTTTATTGAAGTCTAGCAGAACAGTCGCGAAGGCCTCCAATACTTCGGAGACATTGGTAGGCACTGATTAGCTAATGTGTTACGATAATATAACGAGAATGTCATCCAGCTGCAGCATTTGAGCGTCGGGTTCGCAACAATCGTGGGTCTTTTTACACAGCGCCGAGACTCTTGGTCGACAAGGTTCGTCTCGTGGCTGTTTGGAACACCTTTTCGATGCAGGGATTACTGAAACGGCAGCGTCTGCTTAGTCGACTATAAGCCCATTTCGAATTCATTGCGCGGAATGTGTGCGCATTCTTGCATGACAAGCTATAATCAAAATTATGTCAATTCAGATTTATTGCAATGATTGAATTTCAGTTTTGCCGTCATACCAATATTTCTAAAGCATTTTAATTTTGCCTTAAGAGAATCCGTGGTGATTAAAAGAGAAAATATCAGAAAGTGAGCGTAGTTTTGAGCATTTAAAAAACAAAACACGTCATGATACTGCGACACCCCTTTTTCACGTTGCTTCATAAATATAGACCAGGCTACTGGGCAAATCATGCGATGACCACGTAAAAATGCCTCACCTCGCCATTGGACAAGGGTTATTCACGGATTAACGAATACACTATCTTGCCCAACGATTTATCTCACGACTAAAAACATCACGATCGAGAATGTGCAACAAATAAGTCAAAATACTGTTCTCTTGTAGTGCATAATCTAGATCACTTATTTTTCTGATGTAGATAGCGAAAATTTCGAAGTCAATGAAAGAGTTTTAGAATTATTGTTCCTACTTTCAAGCTTACTATACAGAAAAATTCTGTGAAAAAAAACTTTTTTGGTGGAACGAGATCATAAATACTTGAGATCATTAATTCTTATGCTTAATTCTTTTTTATTAATTTTTTACGCATTAATTGGCATTCAAATTATTTATCGTGGATTGAACTTTTTTATCTCAATAAAAGTAGGAATTCGAAGTCAACCTTTCCAATTCTAATACTGGCGCAAATGAATACGAGAAACAGCGGTCCGTGCGCTGTTCTCGCGGTCAAGAACCTCCTCGCTTTGCTTCATGGGCGCACGCCACGCCGTGCTGGAGTGCCCGCGAGGCAGAGCGCATCTCCGGGTTGCGTCCAATTAGGAACGGAAGGCGGAGTCGAGATAGCTCGTATTACATACATTATGAATAGCGAGATGAAACTGCACGGGTGGTACAGAGATATTTGAGAATAGAACTATCTCTTCATGAAAATATCTTGCAACATAATTTTTCGTTCGTGCAACTTGTACTCTAGTAAACGAAAGAAGTGAGGACTGATTACATTTTATCACTTGGAACGTACCACTTTAGAAATACATTTCATTTAATGATTTTCTCACAAAATTATGTAAATTTTGTACAAAAAACATCTGTATACTTGTCGGATACGACCAAGAAGAAAAAATGTCCTAAGTTTTGACACGAAATCGTATATTTCCAGGGGGAATTCATTTTCTTGTTTTTGTTACATATTTTAATGACTATCTTCTGCAGAAAATTGTAGGTCAACTGAAAATTTGATTTAGTTATTCTTTTCCCTTTCTCGGCAACTCGTTTCTATTTATAATACCAATCTGAGAAACATTGGACCGAGAAATACCCAGTCTGTTTTCCTCGTCGCTGAAAGCAAAATTTTACCTGCACACTGGATCCTTCGCTGTGAGCCAGACAACTTGCTTCGTGTCTCGTTCTAGGAGTTTCATCCTTTGTGGACGTCGGAGCTTCCTCGTCGTCATCTCCTTCTGCCTCTAATTTTTTCGGTGGTTTGGTAGGAAAACCTTCCATACATGATTTGTGAGGAAGATCATGTATGTGGAATTTTTTTCGTTTATCTTTGAATTCACAAGTTCGTATAACTCGTTCAGCTTGATCTGGGTCTTGATCTTGAGCTCGAGCTCTACATCGTGTTCTATGATGCATGTGAGGTCGTCCCCTAACTACGCCACGCTGATCGCGATATCCCGACGTTCGACACGCCCAATACACTAACAATATAAAGAATAATATTCCAGCGAGAAGAGTTAGAACTGTCCAAATCACCGTCCACACGCTGTAATACAAATAGTAATGAGCTATTTTTTAAAACGTCTTAACACAAAATGATTTTGGAGAAAATAACTTACCTCAAACAGCACCCAACTTCTTCCGGGCAGCAGTGCGTGAACCAACCACAGCTTATGGTTACATTAGTGTAATTACAAACCATTGCCTAATAAACTTCTGGGGCATTGTCTACCGTAAAATCACGGCCATTGATGTCATATAACATGTTAGTTATTAAAGATGTAAAAACTGGTTTAGAGAAGTTACCCTCATCACCAGTTAACTGCCGAACATTAATGGTGTTTTGCGTAACATCGGACATACAAGGAAGCTTTTCCGAATGGCAACACATATTATAAACGACTTGAAATTAAAACTAACAATTAGATGTCGCATTCCTCTGAACAGTTTATCGGAAAAAAGACAAGGCCAACTTGAAATATGTAAATAAAAGAAACTCTTCTGTCAGTCGTCGTTTGGGAAGATTTGCTACAGGGATATATCAACAAACTCGTCGAATTGCATCTTGATAGTTTATTCTCAAATTATTGCTGTAAAGAAAACAGTTGTAAAATTAAGTAAGAATTTGTAAATTTCTAACCATTTTATATTGATATAATCATTTCGACGATTTTTACATCAGTGTAAAATAATATTCTTCTTACATTTCTTTACCGTCTTTAAAATGGTGATTCGTACAACGGAGAATATCTCAACACGATGCAAATCATTTATTTGTTTTAAACAAAGGAGACGTTTGATCCTGTCCCGTGGATCGCCACTGACATCTTCCAGTGAAGGGGCAAACTAACGGTCGAGGCACGCGCACCAGAGTCCTCGCTCGAACATGGCGAGAACCACGCTCCAGCGGAGCTGCCTGTCTGGCGGACGGGAGGTCGGGCGGCCGGAGAGGCTTGGGGCGGGCAGCGCCGCAGCAACTCCGCATGGTGGATCACGTAATCGATAAAACCATGTGGTAACCGTTCGCTATTCGCCGGGTTCATGCTCTCTGGTGAAAAAAAAGTGAGTGCCTTCGAAACAATCACTTTTGTACGATGTGCATCGTGAAAATATGCGATGCCGATGTTTGTTATAGAAGTGTTTTTCAAGAAAAAGTGTATTTGATAAGTGTTATTAGATACGTCTGAGAAGAGACGAAGTATGAAAAATATATATTGCTAGTGTTGCATTTTTTACAATGAAAAAAGGACTCTGTTGAATTTACATCCGTGTCGTTGGATGAAAAATCTGCTCTAACTCCGGGTGAGTTCCATTTATTTATGTAAATATACAATGCGTATACTACTGCATAGAAGTGGATTTTTACACTGAATCTCCCCTTCACTTTCTTTATGTCTGTCATGACAGTAATTACGTGAACAAGTGTCAAAATGATTGTTGCTGTTTGTTCTGTAAATCCGAAATGACTGTTCTGAATCTATCAGAATATAAATAGTATTTTGAAGAGGGTTGTTGGAAAGAAGCCATCAGATGGGGCTAAAACTTTACCACTATCCTAATGCTTCATGTGAATGTTCTATGAAAGGTTTATGCTTAGTGTTACGATAAGAAGAAACAACAGATATTGATTTGGTGGCGAGGGATAACATTTCTTTCCATCACATCTATCATTGTTGTGAGAAACAGAAACGAATTCTAGAGGGTACGTAGGTCATGGTCTGCTCTCTTTATTATATTGTTTAGGTAATGTCTTGTCAGGTATGCCATTATTTCATTCCCTTTCTACAATGTTTGGATCAATTTTAGACAAAATATTACCAGAAAACGCAGAGAACTGCAAGAAAGTTAATTTGAGAGGTTCCCGCAGTAGCCGAGGAAAGAGCTATGTGAACTATAAATGGATGGCGACTTGGTTCACTGGCCGGAACTTAGAGCATTCAATCATATGAAGGAAGTGCTAATTCATTTTAAAAAATGTAAAACAATGAAAAGTAATTAATGTGTAATCAATTCAGATCTAGACTGAAAAAGATAATATCAACAAGATTTTTGTTTGTGTTAGTGTGTAGTTTTCAGAAGCAGAAGGAATTGCTCCAATGGTTCATTGGAGATGTCAGTCACACCTGTCGTCTTTCCTATTTGGTCTTTTAAATGACTTTAGATAGTAATAGAGCGTAAAGAGAAAATTACACTCACATGCATTTCATTCATCAAATATATTAGAGAACTGCAGTACTAAACGGAAATATTGCAAACCTTATTAAAAATAGAACAGGCAGTGGAAAGGGTTGCATCCATCCAAAAATATATCGCCTGTCTACACGACCCGAACGCGGTCTACGCTTTTCAAGGTTACTTGGAATGCTTCACTCTAAATAACAAGCCCTGATAAATAAACCAGATTCATTTTCCTTTCATGTGCTATGTTTTATCTCCTATAAAGTTTTCAAAAAATAATAGGTAGACTTCATAAAACGAATGAAATAAATAATAAAATAACCTTGCTATTGAAACAATTTGCATTAAAGCATTATACTGTGTTCCCCCTACACAATATGAAGAGATAATTTCTTCTGATGAATAGAAAGTAAGTGTTTATCTAAAAAAGAAACAGAACCAGATTCTTATAGGGGTCTATCCAGAATTATAGTCCACAAATAGAAAAAACATTCCACAGAACCAAATTCATGTCTGTGATAAAGTCACAGTGTAGGTAAACAAAACCTGAATACAGATTTTTTTAAGCCTTAAACCTTGAGCAAAACATAATATACTTAATCAATTATTATTGATCTGAATTGTTATGTTGCTTTTTTCTGACACAATGTACACTTATAAAATTTTACTAGGTATTGAATGAGTACTGTTTTGAAATAGGATTCATTAGAAAAAAGAATATTCATTGTGAAGTTAATTCAAAACCACACATTAACCACACACTAAAAATGATAATGAAAAGGCTCGAAAACATTACATGTTGATGATATAAAAATTCAGGAAAATGCAAGCCTCACCTGTATAATAAATGATAGTACTCGGACAATGGAATGTATGTCTTTGTTGTAATTAATCACAGACAGGAACAAAAATGAATGTAAATAAGTATGTCGAAAGAAAATACAAATTATTCTGATTTATGTTGATTCATTCCATATTACATCAAATATGTTGTAATAAGTCAGAATATGATCATATTTTGAGTTTTATTTAAGTTTTACATACTTTTAGTTAACATTTGTTAATATTTTAAAAAGAAAAAGTGCATTTAATTTACACCCCACAATTGGAAATTCAAATAACTAAATATTGTAGAGAATTAAATGTTATATGTGTGATTTGTAGACAGTGCTGCAACCATGATTTTCCTTTGGGGGCCAATAGTTAAGCTAACTTTGTTTTCATATATACAAATTTAATTTGTAATCATTTTATAAATCAACAAATAAAAATTAATATCAATTTATAATGTATTCGCTTGAAATTCTGAATTACTTCTATTTCCATTGAAAATTAGTCAAAACTGTATTTTTGGACTTGTATCATTGGCATCTCAGGAGGGGGGGGTCGCCTTACGATATGACCCCTCTTGACCCCTACTGTTCATACAGCATTCTATACTACTTTATTAAATTATTTATATAGAATGGGTTGATAATCAAGTAGATGTAAATTGACTCTCCCAAATCCCATAATCCCAATAATATGAAATATTGTTTATGAAAAATATTGTCTTCAATGCTGCACTTTAGATGAAGGCCTAACAATTCAAACAATATTTGTTTTTTAATAGAAAATAAATCCATTCTATATTCAGTTAGACATATTAATACTGGATTAACTTTATTTTCATTTCTTGCTGGATTTAACCAATTTGGACACATTTTAGTCATGTTAGGAATCTTTGATCTTTGAAATTCATGAATGTAGCTATGAGTTGACCTACATTTTGAGAAAGTTGTAACAACACTTAATGATAGTGAATTTTAGTGAGATTTTCTGTTTCATCATTGAAAAAATTGGTTTTTTGAATAAGTAACTTTGAACTGCAGACTTAACAACAGAGAGTTAACATTTCCTTTCTTTGGAATACAAACTGTTTTTTTCAAATTGTTGTATTTTTTGAAAAACTATTTAGGGCTCATTTTTCTTATTTTTTTTATATTGATATATAATGAATTTTAGTGAAAAAAAGCAGGAACTTGAATATAAAAAACATGTAAATCTATTACAATTGTGAGTCTGCAAGACAATGCAGGAAACTCTCTACATGTCTCAACTTCTACATCTAAACATCTCAGCAAGGAACTTCACATAATAATAAAATATAAATAATAATAATAAGAAGAAGAAGAAGAAGAGAAGAAGAAGAAGAACAAGAAGAAGATGAAGGAGAAGAAGAAGAAGAAGAAGGGAAGAGAAGGAGAAGAAGAGGAAAAATAAGATGGAAAAGAATAGGAGAAAGAAGAAGAAGAGAGGAGGAGGAGGAGGAGGAAGAAGAAGAAAGAAGAAGAAGAAGAGGAAGAGGAAGAAGAAGGGAAGAGGAAGAATAAGATGAAAGAGAAGAAGAAAAGGTGGAAGTGGAAAGAAGTGGATATTAATCATTCTTTCTTCCCTGCATTTTCTTGTGGCTGTTTAAATTGGTGTTAATGAACCATGAAAACTATTATTTCAAGTGAAAGAGGGTCTTAGTAGTCAATGTAGGATAAGTGCAGTTGAAAATAAGAGCTTCCCATTGTTTGAATAAGAACATTCATAAATAGTTGCTGTATTCGTGTCCTGTTCTCTAAGTCTAAGCTATTTGCTTACAAGGTCCACAGTGTATTGGTGTTCTGTCCCTAATTCCATTGACCCCAAATCCACTTAATGCCACTTCCTAACGTTAAAATTCTCATGTTAACAAGTAAAATGTGGCTTTCGATTTTTATGATTAAATATTAGAACAGATGAAATAATAGATGTTGGTAATAAAAACAATAAAAGAAATAGGAAGAACAGGAGGGTGACAATAACTGAAATTGTAACTAACTGATGTAATCTAATTTTGACTGTTGCTTAGGAGTTTGTTTGGAGAAAATATTTCTAGAATACTAATAACAATACCAGCATCTCAAAATTATGAGACTCCATTTTTTAACATTCCATGATTTTGTAATAATAATAATAATAATAATAATAATAATAATAATAATAATAATAATTATTATTATTATTATTATTATTATTATTATTATTATTATTATTATAAAAATAATGACTATCCTAGTGTGTCGTCTCCTATACTGTAAACAGTCTTAAAAGTATTTTCATATATTTTTTTAAAAATCGAATCGATGGATACAAACAAGTGGCCAGTTTTCCACCAGCAGACGGAGACGCGACGAATGACACCTAGTTTGCCCCATACGGTGACCCAGAAGAGGTCTAAAGCCGACGTAATCGAATTGTTTAACTAAGCTCCGTGAAGTTTAGCACGTCGAGAGACCACGGATTTCTGGATGGCTGACCGTCTAGGAACCCCGGTTACTAAAGGCGCCGAACCCTTGGCCACACTGACTGCGACGTGACGATACAACAATAGAAAATCTTCAAAGAGTATTTTTCCAGGTACGCTCAATCCTCATGGTGCTGAGACGTTGCAAAGACCTAACAAGACACAAATACTTTTTCCCACGCCTCACCTGCCCTGCGATTCCGCCCCTAGATGTTATCGAATGTTCTTTAAATATAAAATGTAATAGTTATTTAGTTACCAGTTCAGACAGTGAATAATACAAATGAAAGGGGGAAATGAATGCGCACATTCTTTTTCAGGACTATTGCATGGGAACTAGTACTTATCTTCGTTTGCTGATTGAAAGTGTTAATTTGCGACCAAAACAATATTGTAGAGGGCATAGCAAACAAAACACTGGGGCGGCATGAATCAATGTCTTCATATTGAGAATGATCATAAAAGTATATTCTTGTAAGTTCCCGTAAATTCTTACAAAAAAAATAACATCGAACGAAATTGTCTTTGGTGTAATCATTTCACAACGCCGCATGACACACGTCATTAAGTCACATTTCGTCATAATTTAGACACTTTTTTATAATCCTGCATGCACTCAAGATAACAGATTTTTTAGGTATCTTTGGGTATTTTAATAAGTGCCCAAATCCTATATTATTATTATTATTATTATTATTATTATTATTATTATTATTATTATTATTATTATTATTACTACTACTATCACAACATAAATCTCCATCAAATCTTTACCTGTCAAGCGATACCATCTCGAATTAAAGACCATAAT